TCTTGCTTGACCAATCTCATCTCCTTTTGCAACCAGGTGACCTATCACTTGGACAAGCGGGAAGAGATTGATGTCATATATCTTGACTTTAAAAAAGCCTTCGATCTGGTATCCCATGATCACCTCTTGGCAAAACTGGGTAACTGTGGCCTCGACCTCACCATGATCCACTGGCTGGGGAATTGGCTCCATGATCAGACCCAGAGGGTGGTGGTTGACGGAAGTCAATCGTTGTGGTGTGCTGTGACCAATGAGATCCCTCAAAGCTCTGTCCTAGGTCCTTTACTTTTTAACATCTTCATCAATGATGTAGACATTGGTGTCAGAAGCAGGCTGGCCAAGTTCGCCGACGACACCAAACTCTGGGGTAAAGCATCCACACCTGAGGACAGAAGGGTGATCCAGGCAGATCTTGACAGGCTCATGAAATGGGTGGACGAGAACCTGATGGTGTTTAACACTGAAAAATGCAAGGTTCTCCACCTTGGGAGGAAAAACCTGCATCATGCTTATAGGCTCGGCAGTGCTACGCTGATTAGCACTAGAAATGAAAGGGACTTGAGGGTCATGATTAACCACAAGATGAACACAAGCCTTCAATGTGATGCTGTGGCTAGTAAAGCGACCAAAATGCTGGCTTGCATCCATAGATGTTTCTCAAGTAAATCCCGGGATGTCATTCTCCCATTGTACTCAGCCTTGGTGAGGCTGCAGCTGGAGTAATGTGTCTAGTTTTGGGCTCCACAATTCAAAAAGGATGTGGAGAAGCTTGAGAGAGTGCAGAGGAGAGCCATGTGCATGATCAGAGATCAGGAAAACAGACCTTATGATGAGAGGTTGAGAGCCATGGGACTCTTCAGCCTGGAAAAGCGCAGGCTCAGGGGTGATCTGGTGGCCACCTATAAGTTTATTAGGGGTGTTCACCTCGATCTGGGGGAACATCTGTTCACCAGAGCACCCCAGGGGATGACAAGATCGAATGGTCACAAACTCCTCCGCGACCGTTTCAGGCTAGACATAAGGAAGAATTTCTTTACTGTCCAAGCCCCCAAGGTTTGGAATAGACTGCCGCTGGAGGTGGTTCAAGCATCCACTTTGAATGCCTTTAAGACACTTTTGGATGTTTATCTTGCTGGGATCCTGTGATCCCTGCTGACTCCCTGCTCCTGGGCAGGGGGCTGGACTCGATGATCCTCCGGGGTCCCTTCCAGCGCGAATGTCTATGAAATGAATGTCTATGAAATGCACATGCAAACATGCCCAGATACTCTTAATTGGATGCATGAGGTGCTGAGCTTTTTTAACTCTTAGCATAGGTAAGTAGGGATTAGAATAAATGAATGGAGAAGAGGGTTGAAGTGTAAACTCTGCTGTTCATCAAAAACAAGTTTTATTCCATTTGTGAGAATAGTGCATATATTTATTGAGCAGTACTTCTGAAAACTGTATGGACTCAAGCTGCCAAATATAATAGACTTTTTTTTAAGACTCTAAGCCCTAAATAATGAAGACTGTACAAGAGATGACAAAATGGAAGGGGAAAAGTGTAAAAAAGGACCAAGCAATGATTAAGTTAGATCGCTCATTTCTTGGATTTAAAGGTGAGGAAATAGAATATATCAGGAATAAGCATTTGGTATTCATTTCCTACTGAGAAACACCAACCTGATAAAGTTAATGAAGATTAAAAAGTGTAAACAATAATATAATCATGATGAAGGATTTATTGATCGATTCAACATTTTGGTGGGCATGCTTTAAAAAAAGAAGGAATCAGCAACCGAATAATTCTTGATTGAGGTTTGGTAAAGCTGCAAAAGCGAGTTTTGGTAAAACAGTGAATATAATCTGAGAGAGAAAAGCAGAGAGGAAATGGCAGCAGCGAACAGAAGCAAGTCTCTAGAACTTGATTAGCACTGTATACAGTGAAATAAATGAGCAAAGTGAAACAAATTTCAGATTAAAAAATTGTGGAGATGAAGTGGAGGCAAATGGGGAAGGGTGGATTTAGGAAATAAACACTGAAACTGGAAGTACTGTATCTCATTAAGCAAACCTGGAAAACTGATTTAGAAAAAAGAGCTTCCTGGAATCTTCTGTGCTAGAATCCTTTGTTGTTCTGTAATCTTTTATTCAAAGTTCTCTGTTTGTCCTCACATGATAATCTTGTTCATCTCCATTTATGTATGACTCTTTATAATAACTAAACAGATTGAAGACCCATTTGATTTCCCTTTTCCCAAAACAGAAGCTAGGGCATAGCTAATATAAAATGGATCTATTTATAATACAGAAGCATAGATTAAAGTGAGATTCGAGGGAGTTATGTGCATCATTATTTAAATATGCACACTGCATCCTGCCAAATGGAGTGGCAACCACTTTGGAAACACTTTTAACATATATTAACATCCTGAAAGTACTATATTAATCAAGTTAATTAATCTTATGCACTATGCCACCTGCTGGTGTCAGAGGAGATGAAATTAGAAGTATAAAAAAAAAAGCACACTATAAAATTAGAAAGGATTTGGGATCAGCTCCAGTGAAGGACTTAGGGACCTGAAAGTTAAGCATTATAATACCTAATGTTTAGGAGCCTGGTCTGCAGACTGGCATCCAAACCCCTGAATTATGCTTGATATGCGGTGGAGGGAAGAGTTAGGCACCTCAGGGTAGAATCCAAAATGGAAACATAATGCAGATGTCTAGGGCTAGCCAATAGGGATATACTAAGAATAAGGGTGAATCAAAGCTGACTCTCTCAGGGACTTCATTCATGGCTGCAGGAAGATGCCTCTGTTTCTTCAAAATTCAGAGCCCTCAGCCTTCCCCTGAAATTAGGAGCCTTCCTTTCCAAGAACTGGGCAGGAGTTGCTCTTTTCTGTTCCTAGAGATTAGCGCATTTACCCAAGAAAAGAGAGATGCAGGTTTAATTCTACCTTCTGTCTCAGAACACAAAGTCACACCTTCCACTGTCCAGGAGTGTGCTTTAATGGCTAAGCTATAGACTAGGCTGACTGAGGGCAGTCTCTAACCCTCTCTTTGTAGCCATGCCAGTGAGCAGAAAAGAATTCAAGATTCATTAGACAGAAAAAGAGCACAAGAGGAAGAACTGCCTGGTATGTTGAGCTCTTACCCAATAGAAAGGAGACCTGCATTCCCATCCCTACTCCCAGGATTGCCTATGTATTTTACATGAAACAGTCATTGGAAAAAATATTGGATATGTGATAGTCTGGTGGTTAGAGTATTATTCTTGCAAGTGGGCACCGAGTTTGAATCCCCTCAGACCAAGGATGGACCTGAACCTGGGGCTCCCACATCTTGGAAAAGTCCTCCACCCATTAGATTGTTTTATGATGTATGACCGTCTCTTAACCCCAAAGCCTTATAAAAGGAAGCAGCAGCTGCCACCACATTTTTCAGTGTGCAGCACATGCAGTCACACCTAGGCATCTAACTTTTGCCTAGGTCCCACTTAGGTCCCTGAATCCAGCTCTTTGCATCTTGGAATTTGGTGCTCATTATACATTTTCAGAGATGATCAGAATGAATCAGAATCTGTAACAATTGGACTTAAAACTATATTTAAAATATATTCAAGTTCAAGAGTTGTTTAATGGATGTAGTGCACCATATTGTAAAGACAGTGGCCATTTGCAAACTCAAAATCCAGACCCATGTTCATATTTCAAATGGGTTCAAAGTTCAAGGTATTGGATGCAGGTGGTTACATCCCCTTCTTTACTCCTACCATTTTGCAAACCAGTCACAAATTAGATGGAATTGCATGATCCTCTTCCAGCTCCCAGCATATGGACAAAGAAGAGAGCCAGTCTGAGTATACAAGGCAACTTTTGGCTTGCATTTGGGGGCCTCAGCCAACTGGCATAAGTCAAAGCAAATTCTATGCTGCTCTAAATTATGTCAAGCCCGGGGGTAAAACAGAACTGGTATGTATATCAGTGAGGTACAATGGGCTTCTTTGCTGCTCCATCAGCCTCACAAATTTGGGGTACATCTAACAATATGGAGTAAGGCTTGTCTGGTTCCCTCCCCTCATCTTGAATTTTATAGCTATAGTTTGGAATGTATTTCAACTGATCATGAGTGTGAAAACATCAGAAAGTGCACTTTTGATTGATTTAGATGATCAAAGTAATAAAAAGAAGACTTCTGATCTTGCAGGAAGACTATACGGTTCACAAGCCCAGATTCTACTAGTTGTGTAGCTCAGGCAGTCACTTAGGGAAGTGGCAGAAAAATATTAGAATCGTGCCAGCAACATGAAGGCAGCTGGAAGTCATTGTTGACCCCATGTGTACAGCTGCCGGAGGTTCCCAGCTGTGTTGTTACACTTCTGGATTTGACAGACTCTGTAAACATGGCATACAATAATGTCACAACTGTAATAATTAAGGCAAATAATAAACCAGACGTAATTTAATTCAGTGCTATCAGTGAATTTAATAGTAGAATTTGTAAATTTTTCTTGACTTGACCTCAGTATAATGTCGATTTTAACTCTCACATGTAACCCAATAGTACCATCTGAAACAAAGTTTTAACATCAAGTTCTTCCACACAACTATTCTAGGTAGAGATGCTTATGATGCCTATTGTTAACACTGTCTAACGTATTCTACTCCAAGACCCTGTGCCCAGCTGCTTGTAAGTGTCAGACTTTAATTGTTGAGCTAAAATGTTCATGTGAACTGTTTGATTTGGCCCAAATATTTTGAGAAAGTTTCAAATAAAAAATCTCAGTGGGCACATGCTCAGTATAGGTTTGGTAAAGGCAAGCCACTAAATTCTCTGAAGATTCTGTCTGCACTGGGCGTACTCCATCATTTCACAGTTCCTATTGCCAGTCAAGGCTATTCATCCATTTTTCCCTTCAACTGTCCCTCCTATGACCAAAGGCTGGTAGGCTCCAGAACTGAGAGCAGATAAACTGTGTCTCTTGTCTTCTCAGTGACCTCTTTACTGGTACTCACTGAGAAAGAGAAGAAAGCAGCCTAACAAATAAGAAGAGGTGAAGTGAAGGGAGTGAGACACATGAACCATGGGGATGAAGTCTAATGAGCACATGAATGGCAGGTAGCGAGGACAGGAGCAGGAGAGGAGTATGGTGAAAAGCAGAGGTAAAGTAGAAGCAGGAAGGAGTATAAGGGCAAGAACAGAAAAGAAAATATGATGGTATGATGGGAGGGGAAGAGTAAAAGATAAATTGACATAAAATGGGGCACATGGTTTATTGCTACTATAACACATTTCTGACAGAATCTAGGATTGAACTCAGGATTACAAAACATCAGTTTATTTAGTGGAACTCCTGGGCAAAGCTTGCATCTCAACCCCCTTTAGTGGCTAGTTCAGATGCAGGTACTCCATTAGCTCAAGTGGTAGAGGCCTGTGTAACAGATCTAAAGGTCAAATCCCCACTGATCATCCAAGTGGCAATCAGAATATTTCTGTGATGGAATTTCTGGGGGTTTTTTTCAATTTACTTTTATTTTTTTTTAAACCTTAGGAAGTTACATTAAAAATCTGATATTAAAAGAAGGTTAGCATTTCAAAAGTTAGCACCCAGTGGTTAGAAACTGGCAAAATTAAGGTGCAGATTTCTTAATTTCAGTTTCTCTTTCTTTGGAATCAAAAAAGGATGCCTGTTTTGAAAATGGCAGTATAATATTTATTATTATTGGGGTTATTTCTATAACAATGCTCGAGTGTTTCTGGCACTTTAGAGATAAAGAAAAATAAAACAGGTGTAGGCCTGAAAGGCTTACAACCTACTGGTCTTATGCTAATAGGAAGTTGTACAGTGAAGTGATTCAGAGCTTTGCTCTAAAAGTTGTACTAGTGAGAGCACTAGATATAACACAGTGCTCTAAATTCTGGTTCTGATAGCCAGTGGAGAGCTGAAAAAGGAAAGGGGAGAGGTAGGTACCTCTCATGCATAATCAGTGAGTGAAGAGGCATATCATTTATGATTCCAGGAAAGCTGAGGAAACCACACTCAGCAGTAGCACTAGATAAACCTCCTGTACAGACTCACTTCAGTCCTGTTGTACCCACTTCTATAATACCTATTGTGCCAAGCAGTGCGTCTTTGGATAGCCTAAGGTCTGCTTTGCTGCCACTGCTCAAGCTCGGTAACTCTCCTTTATGCTCAGAAACAGCAAAGCACCTAAATTATTTCCTCTTGTGTGGCTGTTCTGGAGAAAGGGCTTTCTCACCCTTCCACCTTGACTTCTACAGCTCACCTTCAAAAGGAACCAGAATTTGGTTCTGTGGGTATTTTGTATTTTTTTTTTTCTGATTTCCTATCTTAACCATTATTACCTTGAGCTCCTTGACTGTAAAACAGTCTATGAGCAGACTCAACGTCCAGAAAGTAGTCCATCTTGGAGAAGTTTTTTGTTGCCAATACTTCTTTTCTCTCAAAGTGATGTAATCAGTCAAATTCCTGCAAGGAAAAAGGGACAAACAGATGAATAGACATCAATTTGTTTGAGTGAAAAAAAATTGTATGTACTATTTACTTTGGCTTATCATAGTGGATTTGGGGCAAAACATTTTCAAATGGTCATTCTTAAAATTTTTAAATGCCAGCTATTTATTTCAAATTATAGGATTTTTCCTACCCATTTCCCCACTTGAAAGACACATAAAGTAAATGGAACCAAAGCATACACAAGATTCCTGCCACCATGGCTGTGATCCCATCCACAGTCTTCATCATTTGCATAATGGACTCATTTCACCCACTTGCTATATCTTATCTTAAGCTCAAGTTGTAAAAACTTTGGGAAAGGGTCTTTCTTATAATATATACCTGTATAGTGCCTAGAACAACACTGGTTCTGACCTAGCTGGGGCCATTAGGAAGGAACTAATGTAAATAAAATGCTGGTTATAGCATTTATGTTAGAATACTGAAATGTTTCTTCAAATGAGGAAGTAATAGATTTCACTCAGCAGGTATATTATTCCATGTGAAGAAAAATACTCTTTTTTTTTTTTTACATTCTATTGCCTCTATATTAATAATGGAAGAAGTAGCAGGACATCACACCATCAGCTTTTAAAATATTTGATAAGGGATATTATTAACACAGCACTGAATATTCTTACCACCAATTCTTCATCAAGCTTTTCGTAACAGCATTCTCTTGAATCCACACATCATGTAGACTGAGTAACCATGACATAGAGTTGCTTGTACGATACATATTGACAGGTTAATTATCATGAACCTTTGCCAACTTTCCTGTTCCTTTCTGTATTTTCTTCTACTTCACATAACTCTATTGTACATTTACTGTCCAGAATTTCCAGATAACACAGATAGTGGCATTTCCCCCTCTGTTACAGCATGCATGTAGAGATGTACACACAACTATAAATATCACTAATAAGCTTGCTATGTTACAAAAATAAATCTCCATAGTCCTTCCACTTTCAGAACATTTCTTTTTGATGTGTGTGAAAGAATGAATCACATTTCAAACAATACCACCAGTTAAGGAGGCAGAAGCAGTAAAATCAGAGTTCCAAAGTAAAAAATCTCTTTGCTTGGATCAATTCACAGGAAATCATTTAAATGTACAAGCTTATACGAATAACAGAACTTTTTAAATTCCTTACTCTATTCCTTCATCGTAGCACTCTGAATAACAAATTATACTTACTGCAAAATATCAAGAGCTGCCTGCCAGTGGTAAAAGCTCCAGTAGTTTCAGGGAGGGCTTCTTTGATCTTACTAAATGTCCCCAGTGTAAGCAAACAATTTTGATTGTTTGATTGGAACTCTGATGAATAATGCATAACGTCAACTGGACTTCCTTTATCTGATAAAAATGGCCAGGAGATGTTGTTACTTAGCAACAGAAGGTGACACTATCATCATCTCCTCTACTCCCCCTCACCCTCCACACTGAAGGATTAAGCCATTGGTTTTAACATGATAAAACTTTCCAAAGAAAAAAAATATCTACCTCAAGTTCCTTTATTAGTTTATTTTTCATTCAAACTTGCTCACTCTCCCTTTCATAAGCTCATAAAACCTCAAGTGGGTTGTAATGATTAACAGAACCATTTTGTTTTACATAATAATTTACTTTCACTAACTTGAACTAGTCACCAGAAGACCAATGAGACTAGTATGTATTTCCCTGTGCACATAATACCAATAATAATGTCATGAGATGGTTCAGTGATTGCTCCTGTGCCTACCTGATGCTGTTTGCTGGGCAAGGTTGTTTTTAATACAGTATAGAAAGGCAATGCAAAATTCACTCCAGTGATGCCACAGCATACACAGATTATCCCGGAGCTTTTTGTACATTTTGTAATTGATTCACTGCTGAACATGTCCTAAAATCTAACATTCTCTAGGAGGCATAATGTTTCTAAAAAGGATACAACATTGTACAAAATATATGATACAGCTTTTTCAGCAGATGTACATTTGTTAAGAGCAAAGGCACTGCATAAAAGAATCTTTAAAAAAAATAAAAGCTTATATAAGAGATAGGTACTTACCAATATCACTGACCTCTTTCCATTCTACAGGGGTGAAATAAGCAATGCAACCAAGTCTGTGAGCCAGAATGAACAGCTTCTAATTTTCACTTCAACCTCAAAATCAAGAGTACTGAGTAGAGAAAGGTGACGGATCTGCTGTTTTATATTATGATGAAATGCAACCTCTTAGCACAGATCTGAGTAGAACTGCTTTTTATATTACATTAGCCTGCTAATTGGAGGAAATTGAAAGGCTTTGTTTTACTGTCTTTTATCTGTTCTCTGTGCTACCCCCTCAATTTAATTTGCATTTAAAATTATTCTTATGTCTCCACTGCTCTTCAAGGTGTGGAGCATTTTCTAATCACGACGAATGTTCAGTGTGGTTTTGTGCAATGCCACTTTTATTCTGAGCCAGAAAACATGGTGAGTAATTATAATTGCTTGTTATTTTCTAGAATGAAATACTGAGTGGTTGTCTGATGCAGTTTCTGAATTTTCCTCCATTTAGCAATCCACTGCAACAAAACTGTCAGGTCAAAACTCCAATAAAAACAACAAATCTAACAGCACTGTTTCATGGTTCTCTTAAGTTTAATATCCAGATCTATGTACAATGGAAACAGAATATTTCTCTACTTAGGTCTTTCCAGTAACATCATGTTTCTTCTATTTTTTTAAACAGACTTGTGTATTTGACAGACATGTTGTACACCACTTCTTTTTTTTTTTTTTTTTTTTTGCAGAATTTCAGGTTACAAAGTTTAATATCCCTCAAGATAATCAAAGTTTGGGGCTATAATGATCCCAGAACATGAGTGGGAAACTTAACCAATGCAGGGAAGTCTTGGGAACCTTTTGTTAACTTCTGATTTTGGAGAGAGAAAAAGATAACATGTTCATCCTTTTCCCTTCCTGCTTTTTTGGAGAGTCAAGTCAACTCTCTCCATATTCACAGATAACCTGTTGGAGACAGCAGGTATAATTAAGCTCTGAAGCTCACTACAAGATAATACCAATACTTAGACCTTGGAAGTCAGAAATGGATTTGGCATTTACTTGGCTAAAAAGAAATTTCAATTATATCAAAAAGCATAACTTTCTAGATAGGGCATAAACCCTCATTCTACAGGGTGTAGCTACAAGGCATAAGCTAATTTTTACAGATGGGAGTTAAAAACTAACGTTCCTGATGAGCAGGCTGTTCTGTGCATTTCTACTCCATGGTTTCTCGCATTTTTCTCTGATTAGTATTTGTTACTAATCAGTGCTAGAGACAAGTGCTTCAACTATGTAGATTGTTGTTTGGAACCAGTATGGAAATTTCTATATTTCACATATGCAGTATGATTCTAAATCTTGGGGAAACATTATTTCTATTCCTTCTAAAGAAGGATATTTTGTGGCTCTTTATATCACCCTTTATCCCTCCTTGTTACCATTATCACTAGCTGCATTGTAATAATCCACACTGGGTGCGCCTACATGAGATGCTACATCACCGTAACAACCTGCTATGGTGATGTAGTGTCAGCGGGCACAAACCGTGATGCCACAGCTATGTCACCGTAGTGACACACTTCCTCACTATAGCGTGTTGCTACAGTGACATAGCAGCTAAAAATAACTGTATGCCACTGACACAGCATAGTAATGGCTGTTATTGCCCCATCCTAAAGTACTAAATGATGGGGCAGTAACAATGGCACCGTAAGGGCACGTGTAGATACACCCATTGATTGACAAAAGAAGTATGGTCACTCAGCTCCTCATCACTTTTCATGCTGACCAGTATGTGAGCACCTAACTCCCTCCTGATAGCTTAGTTCCTCTTAGAAGCTAACTTTAAATTGCAATGCAGCAAGTTCTGACACTTAGAAAAAGAATTGTTTGATTTCCAAGTGGGTAGCAATGAAGAAGGTAATAGTACCTGTCTATCCTGAATCTAGATTATTCACTCTGGGGGAATCCTCAGCTGCCTAGTTATACGCTGGTGTAGTGCTTATATAGAGTAGACTCATAATTTATGTTGAAAGGTGGTAGGCTGATTTCAGAGAGCATTTCAGTGACAGAATGAGAGAACCCAGAAATAGTGGAGGAAGCCATTATATAAACTTCTCCATGCAGTTCAACCAGCACACCTGAATGCACTATTATTAATCTTAAAAAATCTACTGTTTCATGTTTGATTTCCCAGCCCCCTGCCCCCTGGAAAAAAAACAAAATGAAAATAATTGAACACTTGGCATTTACAAAGAAAGAGTAGCCTTATGGTTTTCTAGCAGGCAACAGTTTTTTCTCTACTCTGAACTCTCTCTTGAGAACATAACGGTGACTGTAATGACTCAGAGGCTGAAAAAATTCTGCTGCTGACAAACACTAATATTAACCTAAAAGAAAGTGGGAGAGAGAATGTAATGTGTGACTGAAAAAAATGTAGGCAAGGTGATTATTACAGAGAGTTGTTTCCTGAGGGATACATTCAGAATAAAGGGAAAATATAAAAGTTTAAGCCACTAAGCTGTGAAGAATAGCTTTTTTATCATAATTATTAACCTTGTGCTTAGATGGATTAAAAAGAAAGGACAATTAACAAACAGCAATGGGAATACGTTCTCTGTTTCTGAATCTCTCACACAAGGGAGCAATAAATAAAAGACATAATAAAATATATAGATGTATTCAAGCAGTAGTGTCTTCCAGCACTTTACAAAGATATAAAGCGTTAGAGTCCAAATTTGCAGAAATGTCCCGAAATTTTTGGTCACTCCAAGGGTCCAGACTGAGACAATCATGTTTTGAAGTGCCTATCTAAAAAAAAACAACACCCCAATTGTGTAGACACTTTTGAAATCTCGCCTAAAAACTCAATGCCCAATAGACATTGAACTGAAGAAGATCTGGGTTTCAATCCTGGTCTCACTGAAGACATTAGGATGTTTGCCAGAGATCTCAGCAGGGACAAGATTTCAGCCTTATAATTTAGTCTGGAATGAAGGAGCTCAGGATTTCTAATGCAGAATGGAAAGGAACAAAAAAAGAGAAAATCCAAGGCTCCCATGGAAAGTGACAGTTTTAAAATACAGTAATGAAGCATGGAGGGCACAGAGGCTGGATGCTTTAGAATAAGAGGTTGCTATGATGAATGGCAACCTCATAGACTTATTTTCAGAAGTTGAGGTGTAATAGATGTCTTTTGTGATAAAGCCAAGGGTGGAGGGAATCTTGGAGAGTTCATATGGTGCACACACTGTTAAACAAAATCTTTGTTGCCTTATGCGGGTGGAACTCCTCCTGAAATCAACTGGCTCATCACCATAGTCAACATCATCATCATCATCATTACAGGGCCATCCTCCTGTGGTCTAGCATCAAATGACTGTCATTGAGAGCTACAGACTGCAGCTGAAACCCTTGATCCATTTCTTCTTCCTCCCACAAACCCTCTGCAGCTCATTTCCTATGAAGCACTAGATCAAAAATTCAGAGGGATCCAAAGGAAAGGGCAGCCTGAGACAGTATTACAAATCCACAGATCTCCATCTCCAGAGGTCATTCTCTTCCAATTACAAGGGCAGACAGAATGATGGGAAGAATAAATAATAGTCAGAAGAAATAATATGCTTTATTCATGGCTTTAAGTTAGCACTCGTCTGTTTACCAAGACAATTACTGATTATTATATCAATAGCTCTTTGTAATGGAGCCAAAAATAAGCAAAATAGAAATGTATATCACCATATAATATATATAAGGTAGCATATAATATATACTATCTAGATGGAAATATATTATATGATAATTAAATAAAGGTGTTCTCAATTAATAATAAATATATACATATAGATAATATTGTTATAAGTGTATTTATATTTTATATTTATAATTTATATTTTACTTCATATATAAATGGAGCACAGGGTACCTGATGAATGGTGGATGCTGTCTTCTAATGTCATTTGAGTGGTTACCTGTAAGATCATACCTAAATTTTGCCTCAGTTCCGTGTTGTAAGCAGGCTAGACCATTATGAAATAACTGATTACATGTGATACAATATAGAAATTGCAATCTGGTTAGAACAAAATAAAGGACTTATTACAGTCTGGCTTTAAGCAAAAAAAAAAAGGCATAGCTACAGCGTATTAGTGAAGATACAGAGAGAGTACTGTCATCAAAATTTACAGATTACACTAAAAAATTACCTGTTACAGTGTAGAGGAAATAAATGTTGCATTTGAATTCTAACAACTTACAGAATTTACATCA